CTCAGAGGACCTGCATGACTCGCTCGGCGGAGAATCACTGGTCTTCCGGACCGCTGCACTGATCTGCACATCGCTCGGAGTCTGAGGCGCGGGCTGGGGAGCTCGGAGGATGTGGGCTCCGGCTGGTGGCTGCCCAGCAGCACTGGGATGTGCGCCCGTGCGCAGTGGAGCGGACAGAATCTAATGAAGACCGGAGAGCTCCCGCGCTGTGATTTCGTCCGCGGTGCCGGTGATCCGTCTGCCACTGGGGCCAGTGTTGCGGGTTCAGACGCTACCTCACTGTCCCCAACTAACGTCTGGCCAGTGCCTTGTCGCCACTGCGGAATGCTGTTCAGCCACTGAATAAGCGTATTGTGTCTCCAACGAGCCTCTTTGAGGCCTTCCAGCTGCCTTCACCGGCCCTTAGGCGTTCCATTTGCGTTCACTGGCCATTTACTGCCCAATCTACCTTCACTGGCCGCATGGAGCGCCCTATTTACCTTCACTGGTCGTTTACCGGCGGCCGTCGGACCCGGTTCCCGGCCCGGGCGGTCGCCGTGGCCGTCTGACGGCGCCGCCCCCGCCGCCGGCGCCGGCCTGGTGCTGCCCTGAGTGCCCGGTCCGGACGGCCCTGAGTGCCCGGCCCGTGCTGCCCTGTGGGCCCGGTCCGTGCGGCCCTGAGTGCCCGGTCCGTGCTGCCCTGAGTGCCCGGTCCGTGCGGCCGGCAATGGGGGGTTTCCGGGCGGCCGCACCGCCCACTCTGCGGAGATGTAAACGGCCGCATCCTCATTGGTGGCGCTCGGCTGCGGCGATCGGCCGACACGGCGCGAGTCGTCAGCGCTGTTTGTGGGACGGCCTGAGAGCCCGGACAGCGACCGGCCGCTCGTGCGGGAACTTCTGGGCGGCTGAGCTTGGTCCCAGAACTCAGGATGGGACCGTTTGCAGACTCGTATCGCCGACAAATGTTTGTTTCGGCTCCGTTGGCTGTCAGTCCACTGTTGGGTATAGCCTAGGTTCTCAAGAAATGCCACTGCCGGGACTGGGAGTCCAGCGTCTTTTGCCCCCAGGGATTACTTTCATCATGATTGAAACTCAATGTTATTCAAGTGTCGATCTGAGCGGTCTCTGTTGTCTGGGCCTCGGCGCTGCGCCGTTGGAGGGGGGTAGGGGGTCGGTCATTGTGCTCCCAGACGTCGGGCGTGACCCCGGCAGGGCGGCGACTGACCCCGGCCAGCTGTCGGCCCTTCCGACGCCCCACACCGTCACAGACAAATTCCAGACCAGCAATCGCCGGCGCTAAGTGCTGGCAAATATTTGTGTGTGGTGCGTCAGGTGCGCCGGCCGCGGGCGGCGTGTGTTTTGTCCGCCGGCGGGCCGGCGCATCCGGCGACGGAAGCTCGATCCGACACACCCGGCGGCTCCATATCTCGCCCATCGGCCGCCTGGGAACGGAAGCGGCACGTCTCCAGAGGCGTGATCGTCGCCACTTTTGCGTGGCGCCGTCCACCGTGCGTGGCCAGCTGCTGGAAAAATGATGCCGCCCAAGGTCGATGTGCGGCCATTACCGATCGGATTCCGTCCGGGCCGCCGGAATTACACCATGTGTCCGCAGCTTTAATTGGTCGTAATGGGCTCGGCCGCTGCGGGAGGGAGCGACGCGCGCGTCGCCGCCGGCGTCTCCAGCGCGGCGTCTGTTTCCACAAACAACCGCCGCCTGCGGCGCTCCAATTCAAACCGTGTCGGCGCGGCCGGCCCGGTGGTGTCTGTTTCTGCGCGCTGCACGGGCCGTGCGGGGGACCAGCAGGGACTCCGCGCCCCGCCCAGCTAGAAAGCCGGCGGGGGTTAAGCGTCGGGCGCCGGGGCTCCCACGGTGGGGCTCTCTCTGCCGCGCGGGCCGCGTGCGTCCCTGTTATTACTCGGGAGACAGCAGGCGGACGGGCACGCGAGCCGCGACCCGGGTCGGCCGACACCGCCGGCCGGTGCTATCTGTCAGTTCGGAGCCAGTCCCGCGGCCGGACAGCCTCCGTCCGATGTTGATGTGCGCGGTTTGGGCCGGACCGACAGTCGCGGCCGCCGGCAGTCTGTGGGGTGTGGCCGGACAGCGTCCCGTGACGGCTGGGACGGGTAGTGTTGCGTCCCGTCCTGGCTGGGACGGGTAGTGCTGCGTCCCGTCCTGGCTGGGACGGGTAGTGCTGCGTCCCGTCCTGGCTGGGACGGGTAGTGCTGCCCCCCCCCCCCCGCCCTGGCGGGGACGGGTAGCGTTGTGACCGCGGCCGCCGACACGGGATAAAACTCCCGGCTGATTGGCCGTCTCGGCCGGTTACCGCAGTCGCTGTGGGAAACCACTGATCAAAGCACGGCAGCATCGCTCCGGCTCCGGATCTGCGGCCACGCTCGGCGACTCCGAGGATGATTCTGAATGGTGTGAACCAATTACTGGTGGTATTATATGACTGACGGCGTAACGATTATGGGATGGTCAGCGGTGGCGTCAAAAAGACGTGTGAATTTCGACCTCGCCGAGCTATTGCGTGGAGATCGCTGTGCTGAGATGCAGTCGACATCTCGCTCATAGCCGCGTTTGCACGGCCGATTGCAAAGTCGGGCCGACGTGGCTTGTGCCCCTTGCGGCACTGAGTCTTATGGCAGTTTACCAATGATTCGTAAACAGTATCGTAATGGCATGCTACCCACGCAAAAGTTATATTAGTAACCATATAGTAAGTACACGACAGTGCTTATCGCAAGCTTATTAACTTTTCCCGAGTAATAGCGGCCAGAAAGAAGGTGCATCAAAGCAGCGTGTTCTGTGTGCAGTTGGGTATTTGACATGCGCTCTCAAGCAAATTATTCATGGAAAGTATCATTGGCAGTCTCAAGGGTGAAACTTCCTTGACCCGCGACCTGCCTCGGCGTCTCGGCTCAACTGAAAGTGACAGCCGGCCGCAGAGGACGTGGTCGGCCGCTTTCGTTCGGAAGTGGTTGTGGTTCGACAGGGCGCCAGACCGCCGTGCGCGGGCCTGAGAACTGCCGGTGGCGGCCGCGTGCTGCGCCTCCGCCGGCCGGCACCCACGGGTGAAATAGGTCCAACCGCAGCCTTCGCACCTGTCTCCCGCCCACCCCTGCTCGTTTGCAGTGTCGTGGCTGTGTGTTCACTGCCGCCTTGGCTGCCAGGCGTCACTGCACCTGTCGCGCTGACAGCTGAGGGGGCGGTTTATCAAAGTGACGACAGGAGCTGCCGCGGCTGTCACCGTGTAACGTTTACAGCCCTATTAGCCTATCTGTTACTGATGTTTCACAGGTAATGTGGCCCATATTCTGACAGCACGTCCGGCCCGCAGCATCAGTGCACTGGCTGCCGCTAATATGCCTGAAATGACCCACTGCATGTGATGACTATTTCAGTTAGCTCGGTGCTATCATGACCAAAAACCACTCCACAGATTGGGAGCTGTCGGATCAGTGCCGTTCGCCCACCTGGTCCGCATTGACCGCCCAGTCCCGTTCCAGCGGAGCGCCAGGCCTACCACACGGAGGTGGTAGGTTGTAGGTGTTCGTAGGGACCCGCCGTGACTGCCGAGTCCCTGTTGCAGTCGTTCACCAGGCCTACCAGACGGAGGTGCATAACGTGTACACGATCCGCGGCAACGCTGCCGTGTTTAGCTGCCAAGTGCCCAGCTATGTGGCCGAGTTTGTGGCGGTGCGCGAGTGGCGCTCTGACGCCGGAGCCGTCCTCCGACCCGGGCAGCAGCACGGTAATTCACACCACGCTGATCACCTGACTGCTGGCTGTGAGACCCGGCAAAGACCGATTTTCAGGTGGGCGGTGACGGAGCCGGGTTTCTCGGCCGCAGGTGGAGGGAAGCTCCTGTTTGCGCTGGGAGGAGATGTAGAGGGCTAGCATTGGACGGGCGCCAGTGTGACGGTGGGCGCGGCGTTGACAGTCCCTGATGACCGCCGCGACCACTCCGCAGCCGTCTCACAGGAGTACGCCTCCGGCGTCATCGACCAGTACGTCATCGTCGGCAACGCGGCCGTGCTCCAGTGTCAGATTCCCAGCTTCGTCGGCGACTTCGTGACGGTGCAGTCTTGGGAGGACAGCGCCGGCGGCACCTACTTCCCCTCGTCCGGCTACGGTAACCGACCCGCAGTCCGCGCCTCTCCTGTCCGACCGCCGCCCGTCCTCCGCCCGGCGCCCCGCCCGTCCTCGGCCGCCTGACGCCTGTCTGGTTTTCAGTCGTGTCGCTCGACTATCGTGCCGAGACGGAGAACGAGTTTGTGATCCGCGGCAACGCTGCGGCGCTGCGCTGTAAGCTGCCCACGTTCGTGGCCGAGTTGGTGCAGGTGGCGTCCTGGCAGGACTCCGCCGGTGGCTCCTACTTCCCCTCGCAGAGCTACGGTAACTAGCTGCGCCCCGCGCGCGCCGCCCGCTCTTTTCAGCTGTCACTCAGCCGTACACGACCAGCGTGCAGGACGAGTACGTGATCGTCGGCAACGCCGGCGTTCTCGGCTGCCGCATCCCCAGCTTCGTCGCAGACTTTGTCACCGTCAGGTCGTGGCAGGACGCCACCGGCGTTACCTTCTTTCGCTCTTCAACGAGCTACGGTACGCCGGCTCCCCGGTGACGCCCCGTGTCGCCCGTTTCAGTCGTTTCGCAGGCGTACCAAGTCGAGATCGACAACGAGTTTGTGGTGCTCGGCAACGCGGCCGTGGTGCAGTGCAAGCTGCCCAGCTATGTGGCCGACTTTGTGCAGGTGGCCTCTTGGGAGGATTCCGACGGCGGCTCCTACTATCCGTCCGCGCGCTACGGTAACTAGTGACGCTGTCCCCTTTCAGCCGTGTCCCAACCCTACCGGACCACGGTGTTTGACGAGGACGTGGTGGTGGGCAACGCGGCGGTGCTGCGGTGCCGCATCCCCAGCTACATGGCCGACCTGGTGGCGGTGCAGTCGTGGGTGGACGGCGACGGCCGCTCCTACTTTCCGGCCGCCAGCCACGGTAAATGGCCGCTCCTGTTACAGTGGTGGCTCAGCAGTACTCAGCCAGCGTCAACCCCGTGTACGTGGTGGCCGGGAACGCGGCCGTGCTGCGCTGCGAGCTGCCCAGTCACGTGGCCGACCTGGTGACGGTCACCTCGTGGGTCGACGGCGACGGCGCCGTCTTCTTCCGCTCGGCTGGGGGCGGCGTTAGTGGCGATGGTACGACTGGCGCATCCTTTCCGTCCTCACTCCCCCCATCTCCTCCTTTCTGTCTTCTGACCTCTCCACAAGTAATGCCGCCTTTCAGGAGTACGCCGGCTGATGCTGGCGGCCCCTTCTCCTGCTGACGGCCCCTTCTCCTGACGACTGACAATGACCTGTTGCAGCTGTCGCGCAGCGGTACGAGGCCAGCGTGGAGCGCGAGTATGCCATCCGCGGCAACGCGGCCACCATGCGCTGTCAGATCCCCAGCTTCGTGGCCGACTTTGTGACGGTGCAGTCGTGGGTGGACTCGACGCAGGCTGCCTACTTTCCCTCCACCGACTACGGTAATTGGTCGCTGACCCTCAGCCTCTGCGCACAGCCGTGTCTCAGCCCTTCGACACCGACTCGGACAAGGAGTACGTCATCAACGGCAACAGCGGCGTGCTCCGCTGCGAGGTGCCCAGCTTCGTGGCCGACTTTATCACTGTGCAGTCGTGGGTCGACTCTGATGGAGCCACCTACTTCCCTTCGGAGGACTATGGTAATTCACGCCCCCCTTCCTGGCCATATGAGAGGTGTGAACAGCATAGTTTCAAGAGCAGCATGGAAGAACTCTTGCTTCAGAGTGCAAGAGATTCTTGATCCTGTTGTTGTTGTGGAGCGCGACTTGCCGTCCGGCGTCGCATCTTGAGACGGCTACAGAACGTAAGTTACGCTGCTTGCAGCGAAATGTTTCAGCAGTTCGCAACTTCTCCCTGAAGCTTTTTCCATCTGGTTTTCTACGTTGTGTCCACCGTTGCCGACTGCCAGAGGCGGACGTGGCGTCATCCTTGCCTGCGTTCCTTGACTATCCTTTTTCACATCCTGCCTCACGTCTTTGCCATGCCTTTCAGTGCTCTGTGGGCGGTCTTTGGTCATGTGCCGATACCTTCCCGGGGTGGCGACGCTGCTCGACTGCCAGTGGTCATTTGGTGGCTGACTGACCTCAGCCTCTGCGCACAGCCGTGTCTCAGCCCTTCGAGACCGACTCAAACAAGGCGTACGTCATCAACGGCAACAGCGGCGTGCTCCGGTGCGAGGTGCCCAGCTTCGTGGCGGACTTTGTCAGCGTGCAGTCGTGGGTCGACTCTGATGGAGCCACCTACTTCCCCTCGGAGGACTATGGTAATTGGCCATCGTTTGTTAGGCGGCAGGAACGGCGCCGGAACATCGCTAGATGATGTTATAACATGACTTTATCCCTAGGTACTTCAAAAAGTGGTCGTGTCACCAGGCTCCGGCGTTGCCTCTTTTTGTTATGTCGAATCCAATAAACGTTCGTGTTGTCTTGCATCGCAAGGCAACGAACGCTTAAATGCGCTGTCATAGGCACTTCGGAGTCCAGTTTGTACTTGAACGGACAGGGCTCCTAGTGTCCAGTCGTTATAAGTACGCTCCAGCAAAGAAGATTTCCAACGTTTGCCTAGCTCTGCTTGTGCAAGAATCGCCATTGAACCTGCAGTTCCCACCGCTGCATGTGATCAGCACCTGGCGCCTTGGAGTTGGCCAATGGCGGCTCCATTGACCGAGACCGCCCCTTTTCTCGCCATACGATTGAAGCATGGCAGTGAATCATTCTCACAGGGGTTCGTTGCGCTTCGGTGTGCCCCAGAGCGACCAGTCCCGTGCGCTCACGCTCTGTCCTCCTCCCCCGCTGACCGGCTGTGTGTCTGTCTGTCCACGGCAGTGGTGTCGCAGCAGTACCAGACCGAGGTGAACAACGCCCACGTCATCGTCGGGAACGCCGCTGTGATCGCCTGCGTTGTGCCCAGCTTCGTGGCCGACTTTGTGCAGGTGGCCTCATGGGAGGACGCGGCCGGCGGCTCCTACTTCCCGTCGTCCCGCTATGGTAATTGCTGTCCCCTTCCTTTCAGCCGTTTCACAGCCGTATGATGCCACCGTTGTCAACGAGGACGTGGTGGTGGGCAACGCGGCGGTGCTGCGGTGCCGCATCCCCAGCTACATGGCCGACCTGGTGGCGGTGCAGTCGTGGGTGGACGGCGACGGCCGCTCCTACTTTCCGGCCGCCAGCCACGGTAAATGGCCGCTGACCCCCGGCCTCTGCGCGCAGCTGTCTCGCAGCAGTTCAACACGGAGGCCGACAACGAGTACGTCATCGTGGGCAACAGCGGCGTGATGCGCTGCGAGGTGCCCAGCTTCGTGGCGGACTTTGTCAGCGTTCAGTCGTGGGTCGACTCTGATGGAGCCACCTACTTTCCTTCGGAGGACTATGGTAATTCAGTGCTGATGCCCGTCAATCGCCTCCATCTTCCAAGTAACTCGAGAAATGGCGCAATGTCGATAGACTTCGAGCTTTTCGGGTCCCGCAGAAAGATGTAGGGCTTTCCATTGGGCCATGTAGTATTCTGGGTCGCTCATGGTAGATGACAGCGAGACCTGTCCTATCTCGAGAGCTGATTGATTATGCAGTAAGTCTCCAGAAGACTGTCTTCTGTGAAACGACGGAACTTCACAACTAGCTAGCCGAGTTAGATGCCGGCCGCTCTTCTGAGCATTTCAGCTGCCAGATAGTTTAAGCCTGGTGGCTGGCTGGTGTTGTTCGGAGACTATTCGGGGAGATCTTAAGCATGACATCAGAAGAGAATCTTTTTTTTGGACCTTGAAAGACAATTTTAAAAACAATTATCACCAAAATGTAATCGTAAACGCAACTCACATCTTCCAGAAGCATTGTTCTTTGGCTTTGTATGGATTAAAAGCTTTACTTGGAGCTAACTATTTCAAGTAAGAAAGCCGGCAAGAATTTTCAGCCAATGGTCTGGAACCCTTGTAGTTTGGAGGCGCTGGTCTGCTTAGAATCGTTCCCGCAATATCCTGGTCAGTTCCTTTGGGTTCCTGCTGTGTTGCCAGTTCCAGCCACCCCTGCCTGCCGTGTCCTGAACTGACGACTTGCCTCGTCTCCGCCAGACGAGTTTCGTAGCGGAGCGTTTCACAGACAACAGATTGTGACGCATGCCGCGCATTGTGTCGGCCACACAGTGACAGTCTTCAACGTCTCTGGAGCTGCACATGACCTCATAGAGCGCGTATTCTCCGCCCCTGGCTGTGCCTCCGCTGGCTGACCGCTCCCGCGCAGGCCATGTGTCCGCCGGCTGACCGCTCCCGCCGTCCCCACGGGGTCGCGCTGGCCATGTCCGCCGGCTGACGGCTCCCGCTGTCCCCACGGCAGTGGTGTCGCAGCCGTACCAGACGGACGTCAACACGGCGCACGTCATCGCCGGCAACAGCGGCGTGCTCTCCTGCGTGATTCCCAGCTTCGTGGCCGACTTTGTCAGCGTGCAGGCGTGGACCGAGGCCGGCGGCGCCACGCACTTCGCCTCGGAGCGGTCGGGTACGTGGCGGCCGGCGGTGACGCCGGCGCCCGCCGTCTGTTTCAGCCGTGCAGCAGAGCTACGAGACCAGGATCCTGGACGAGTTTGTGATCCGCGGGAACGCCGCCTCGCTCAAGTGCGTGCTGCCGAGCCACGTGTCCGACCTGGTGTCGGTGCAGTCCTGGGAGGCCAGCGACGGCTCCGCGTTCTTCCCCTCGTCCGACTATGGTACGGCCTAGGGACGGCAGCAGCTACCCTAGACACCACCACCACCCCGCGCCTCTTCAGAACGTGGCTGCAAACCACAGCTCAACGTATCGAACGTTTCCGAGCCTCCGCTTCCTGTCTAACCTTTGATCTAAAGCTTCGTGCTTTATATAGTTCATTCCTCCAGCTCCTTCGCCTGTCATAAAATGTGCTTCATCCGTGTCTCAAATGACTCACCATATCCTACGACTTGTCCTGGTCTGTCACATGACTCGTCCTGTCCTGTCGTATGCCTCGCTCTATCCTGCCATATGACGCATCTCCTTCCTCTCTGTCATATGACGCGTCCTCTCCGTTCGCCGTCGTATCGCCGCCCGGTGACGCACCGCGGCGACTCAGCCGCCGGTGACGCAGCTGACCTTCTGTCTCCTTCGCCAACCGGGCCGTCAGCGGCTCCGCACTGCTTGTGTCACGGCCGGCGCCTCAGGATCACGGCCGGCGCCTCAGGATCACGGCCGCCCGCCCGGAGAGGGGCGGCGCCGACCCGTCTGACTGCGAGCGTGGGAACTGGGGTGCCCCCCCCCCCGCCGGTCGGTCGGTCGACGGCGGCTGGTGGGAGGACGTTCTCTGTCCGCTCTATGTGGCCACCGGGTCCGGCCGGCTGTCATTAGGTCCTCATCCACAGCCTCGGGCTGGCCGGGTGACTCATCGCTGACAGGCTCCCTCTCCGCCTCTGACTGCCCGAGCTCGGCCGAAGCTCGGCCGCAGCTCAGTCATGAGTTCAGCCGCAGCTCAGCTGGAGCTCAGCTGGAGCTCAGCTGGGCGTCAGCCGTAGCTCAGCTGGTGAATCGCCTGGCCTGGAGTCACGTGCCGCCCGTCACGTGACGACGATGGGCGTCACACCGGGCCGGCAAGACGGGCGCCACTGGGGAGCGGCCGGCGTTTTTCTGCCGCCGCTGCAGCACTGGTGGCTGGGCCGCGGCCGCAGAGCCGGGCGCCAGCCTGGCCGGGTCGCCCCCGCAGCTGTCGACAGGGTCGGCGGGACGCCCGCAGAGTTCAGTCCCTCTCGGGATGGTGTCAACTATTGAGCGCTCTGTGTGCGCTGCCGCGGCGGGCGGAGAGAGAGACCGGCCGCCGCTCGTCGGTCGTCGGTCGGTCGGCGGCGCTGTGCGTGCCGCCGGTCGCCGCCGCCGACGAGGCCGGGTCGACGCTCGCGCCGGGCGCGTGGCTGACTCACCCGTCGGAGTGGCGTCGAGGCCGGCGCGGCGGAACGCACCCCACCTGGTGGCCGGCGCGCGGATCGATGAGCGCGTCGGCCCGCGCGCTCCGGGCGCTGAAGTCGTGTCCTCTGGCTGAGGACGGGCGTGGTCGGCCGGAGGGGGCGCCGACACGCTGACGGCGGGCGCCTGGAGAGAGAGAGAGAGACATGCTCGGCACTCGCCGTCCTCCTTCCGGGACCGGCCTTTGTGTCGGCCGGTCCTGGGGCCGCCGGGGGTCGCCGCTCCGGCCGGGCCTGGGGTCGCCGGAGGTCGCCGCTCCGTCCGGTCAATGTGACAAACATCTCCATACAAACATCTGCCCGCTGACTGACGGCCCCCTGTTTGTGTTTGCCCGCGCGCGGTGTTTGTGTTTAAGTGGCGCGGCTCGCGCGTAATTGCCGGTGACCACCTAGCTGTCAACAATCTTAACGTAACGTCACATGAAGTTGAATAAATACAGAGTAGCGTAACTCCATTATTACAGCGTACCGTAGCTCATTAGTTGGTGATAACGTAACGCTCGGCCGGCATAGCGTAGCTGCTGATGGTTTTATCTTCACTGGTCGCTGCTCGCGATTGTACTGTATCGTTTTACCGCCGGCCACGCGCAGCTAGCGTTTTGCGGTGGTCACGGATGAATTCGCTTTGTCTGATATACCGTAACGGTAACGCTTGTTTCCGCGTCGCCCGCCTCGCTCTGGATACTATCGGTCCGCGCCGCTCCTTAGTGTAACTGACATTGAGGGGCGGCGGTATTGTGGCCTCGGTCACAGCCCGTGTCCGGCCGGGGACCCGCCTCTGAGGCGGCGCTCCGGCTCGGTACGGCCAGGGCTCTCAGTGGGCCGCGGCCCGACCCGGACCGTTCCCGTTCAGAGCCAGGCGGGCGGTGCGCAGATGAACATCACCTGCTCGCGCTGAGGGAGAGTCGACTGAACAGCCAGATAGCCGCCTGAGCTCGACTGCTTTCAAAGTAACACGGAGGTGTTGAAACTGAGACCATTCGGTCGAGCTTGATCGGCTAATCGGCTGTTGGTCGACTCTCCTCTGTCGCGGGATGTGTCTGCGTGTCTGTGTACCCGACCCTGCTCCCAGCAGCCCTCCCCTCCTCCCCATGGACTCCCTCCTCCCCACGGACCCGCCTCCTGCCGATACTCCCACGCCTCCCGCGCGGCTTCCCGTAAAAACGTCTCCGCGCGCGGTAATGACCCTCTCGGTCCGATTGTGTGGTGGACCCGGCGCCGGCCACCGGGCGTTCCCATAGTTAGCGACAAAAGCCGGCCCCAGTTGACACCTGAACTGGAGTCGTCACGAAACGCCGCGTGACGCCCTCCCGCTCCGCCTACCGCTCGGCCCCCAATGCCCAGTCAGATAGCTGGGCGGGAGAGCATTGAGCCAAATTGACGAGTCCCCTTTTGGGTGGCGTTATAGTCACAATCCCCTAGTCGGTATCTCCCCTCCATTTTTACGAGCTGCCTTCTCAGACGCGTTGCGGTTTTATTACTGAGGAAATTCTCTCGATGCAGGGTCAGGATTCCCATTAAACCGCTGTCGTCTGTCCCTGTGACGGCTGGAATCGATCTATCGATCGGCGTGATGCGTCCGCGGCGCTCCGCCCCTGTACTGGTCGCCTCCCCCTCACTACTCTGACTGGCATCTGACGCCCCTCTCTAATGTAACGACTCGCGACTCCCATAGTTGGCGACAGCGGCAGCGGCCAATGGCTCGGCTGAGCGGGCAGGCGCTGACAGTTTCCGTAAGACACAACTGTTCTGGTATTTTTGTGTCGTTGCTACATTAATTTTTGGGTTAATATAGCGTAAAAAAATCCGTTCTTGAATCTCCATGCTTGTTAATTCCTTTTGGGATAATCTCACCAACCTGTCCTACAGACCCAACTCTCGGCAGTCCTACATGGCCCCTATGTAACCCCCTGATGACCCCTGTGTCCCGCTATACACCCCGTCGGCCGTGTGTGACCTCCGCCCGCGGCGCGTGTCGTCAGACGGCAAGTACCTGGTGCTGCCGTCTGGCGAGCTGCACATCCGCGACGTGACGCCCGAGGACGGCCTCAAGTCGTTCCGCTGCCGCACCGTGCACCGGCTGACGGGCGAGACGCGCCTCAGCGCCACCGAGGGCCGACTCGTCGTCTCAGGTGAGTCTGAGACTGGCAGCGGCCGCCCGGGCACCCCGGGCCGTCCGAGACCGGCAGCGGCCGCCACAGAGACAGAGAGACCGGCACAGAGACCAGGGAGACCGGTACAGGGACCAGGGAGACCGCCACGGAGACCATCGTAACTGCGCGAACGTCAATCTCATCTAAAGCTCGACGTCGTACTCTCCAAACAGTCATCTGTAGATAAATTTGCCGGGACTGTGTGGGGGTGGAGGTCTCTGTGGGGACCTCTGGTCAGTCCCCACTTCCCAGCTCTCTGCGTCGGTGGGGGTCTCTGCAGGGACCTCTGGTCACTATTTCCCGGCTCTCTGCGTCGGTGGGGGTCTCTGTCGGGCTCTCTGCAGGGACCTCTGGTCACTATTTCACCGGCTCTCTGCGGCGGTCGCCGCCGGTCGCGGGGTTAAGTCGTCCGCCGGCGGCCGCTCGGTGGGCGGCGCCATTGTTTCTTTGTGCCGCCGGCCGAGCGGCCGTCTGCGGTCGGCGTACCTCGGTCGGCCTGTTCGACTCATTATCGTTATGTCGTTAGTATTGACACGGCCGGCACGACGCGCTCTCTGACTGTATCATGACGGGCCCTGCCGGCTCCTGAATAGTTCATTTGGCTGTAATGCGGTTTTGGGTTAACGCCCTTCCGGTGATCGACTCAGTCTTCTGGGCCAGTTTCAGCCTTTGCATATGATTAATGGATATGTCAAATGTTGAAATGTAGCGTGTTCCGTAACGCCCTCTGTTGCGCGTGTCGGTTTAACGTAACGGTAACGTCTGCTCGCCTTGCACTGTTTGCCTCTGAAAGTAAAGTCTGCGCGCGGTGTGTTGTGTTGTGTGCGCGAGGAGCCTACCTGAATGTTGGGATAGGGTACCCCTGCTGTCGGGCCGCCGGCCGCCGCCGCCGCCGCCGCCTGTCTCCGCGCCAGCCCAGCGCTCCGCCCGGCCGGTCCGTCTGCCCATCTGCGGCCGCACCGACCGCCTCTGGGCGGCCAGAGGCGGGCCGGACCCAGCCGTCCCACACACACCGCTGAGAGACTGCCAGATCGGTATCGTTCTCATTGCCAGCATTGAGAAAGCGTGCTGCGGAGCCCAGTCGGTCGTGCGTTGTCCGGTTGTGGTAGGATGTCCCTAGAGGGCGCCCCGACCGCACCCCTGCTAGGGGCCGGCCGCGGAGGTAGCGCCATCTGTGCCCGGAGTTCACTGACAGGACTGATTCATGCATTTACTTTGGCATAACATAGTCAATGCGTTCTCCATTATCAGTCGCCATACTGACACCATACTGACACATGTGGACTGCTGCGCCATCCGGGTCCCGGCTGAGCCTCCGTCGGCGGCCGCCTGACAACAGGCCGGAGCAGACCGGCGCCGCGGCCCGCCTCCGCCGAGCCTTTTGACCGGGCTGGCACCCGCGCGTCCGGCGCCGGTGGCTCCTGTATCCGTCTCCAGACAGACCCCGTAGCGCTAGCAGCAGTGCCGTGCGGAGTGCCGTGCCGGATTTCTGGCCGCTGACGCGCCGCTGTCGGTCGGCAGAGCCGGTGAGCAGCTCGGCGCCCGCGTTCCCGTCCGCCTCCCAGACGACTCAGGGGGTGACGTTCCGGTCTGGCCGCGGCCTGGCGCTGTTCTGCGCGGCCCAGGCGGCGCCCCCGCCCGAGTTCAGGTCAGAGCAGCCCCCGCCCCGGCCGAGGTCAGGTCAGCACAGCCCCCCGACCCTAGGTCAGGTCAGCCACCGCTTAAGGTCAGGTCAGAGCAGCCCCCGCCCCCGCCGAGGTCAGATCAGCCCCCGCTCAAGGTCAGGTCAGAGCAGCGACCGCCCGAGTCAGGTCAGCGCGGGACGGCATCGGTAGCTCGGCTCGGCAGAGCGATCTGTCCGGTGACGGAACGTCCGCAGTGGTGTCGAGGTGGGTCGGGTCGGCAGCAGGGGCCCTATCCCGGCAACAGGGAGCGGCCCTGTCCCGGCCACTGAGGCGCCGCCGGTCGTCCGCAGAGCCGGTGTCGGCCGCTCCTCCCCAGGTCACCGTCTCGGCGCAGCTGAACAAGGCGGTGGGCCGGCGCGGCCGACCGGCCACGCTGCTCTGCCCGGGCCAGGGCCGGCCGGTGCCCGCCTTTCGGTAGGTGGCGCTGTCACGTTGCGTTCCGCCGCAGAGCCGGTGTCGGCGGCGCCGCCGCGGCTGGCGCTGTCGGAGCGTACCAGCCTGGCGGCCGGCAGGGCGGTGACGGCGGTGAGCCTGCTCTGTCCGGGCCAGGCGGCGCCGCCGCCCCTGTTCCGGTAGGTACTGGTCGGGCGGGGCTCGGGTTCAGCCAGCGAGTCGGGTAAGTGGCGGCGGCTGTCGGCCGGACGGCCCGGTACTCCTCCCGCCGGGCGGTGGGTCCGTCCCGCGGCCCCCACTCCCTGACGGGTCCCGCGGCCGCCGCAGCACCCGTCAGCTCGGGCCGGCCCCAGGTGAACGCTGTAGCCCGTCTCAGTCTGGTGGAGGGCCGCCGCTCGGCGCCCGTCACGCTGCTCTGCCCCGGCCAGGCCGCCCCGCCGCCGCACTTCAGGTAGGCGGGCGTAGGTAGTCGTACCCTCACACACCAACGAGGCAGGTAGGTAACTCTATGGTGATTGATTGCCGTCTGGGAGCTAGTTCGGCAACTGAACCGGCTCACGGCGGTGCCATTCACTGGCTCGGTACACGTCCGCATGTCCATTTGCTGATTCCGACCGACCGTCGGCTGACAAGTGCGACATCCCGAGAGCTGAGGGCACCACCGCGGTCCATTTCGGTCCGGACCGGACAGCCGGGGCGGGGCGCTGGGTGGCGCCGCCCGGCGGGGGACGGCGCGGCGGGCCGGCCGGACCACTCCTCCACCGACTGACGGCCCACCCGGCCGGCGCAGAGCCGGTGGCCGCGTCGGCGCCGCAGCTCGGCGAGGTCTCTCAGCTGCACCTGACGCGCGCCCGCCGCGCCGCCGTCGCCATGCTGTGTCCCGGCCAGGCGGCCCCGGTTCCGACGTTCAGGTAGGCTGTCTCCGCCCCCGTCCCCACCGCGGCCAGTGACGGTGAGTCTGTCCCCTGCGCCCACAGAGCCGGTCTCGGCGTCCGCGCCGTCCGCCGTACCGCTGCTGGACGCGTACCACCAGCAGGCGGGCCGGCCGCTCTCTCTGCTCTGCCCCAGCCAGGCGTACCCTCTGCCCAGGTTCAGGTAGGCTCCCCGCCGGCTCAGGTCAGGTCGGTGTCTGACCGGAGTGGCCGTGGCCCCGCAGAGCCGGTGGCGGCCACGGCGCCGTCGGCCATGTCCCTGCCCAACGCGCACCAGCGGACGGCGGCGCAGGCCGCGGCGCTGCTCTGCCCCAGCCAGGCGTACCCGCTCCCCAGGTTCAGGTAGGCTCTGCGCCAGGTCAGGTCAGCTCCCGGTCGGGTCAGGTCAGTGGGTGACGCGAGTGGCCGTTCGCAGAGCCGGTGACGGCCGCCGCGCCCAGCATCATGTCGCTGCCAGACGCCTACCGGCAGACGGCCGGCCGGCCGCTCTCTCTGCTCTGTCCCAGCCAGGCGTACCCTCTGCCCAGGTTCAGGTAGGCTCTGCGCGGAGTCCATGTAGGGGTCCGAGCGTCAGGTCGGGTCGGTCGGCGCTGTTCCGCAGAGCCGGTGGCGGCGGCGGCGCCCTCTGCCATGCTGCTGGCCAACGCGCACCACCAGACGGCGGGTGGGCAGCTGTCGCTGCTCTGCCCCAGCCAGGCGTACCCGCTGCCCGCGTTCAGGTAGGCTGCTCGGGCCGGCCGGTCGGGGGCTGACCGGTGCGCCGTTCGCAGAGCCGGTGGCCGCCGGCCGGCCGCAGGTGCAGGAGCTCTCTCAGCTGGGGCAGATGACGCGCCGGGCGGCCGGCGCGCTCAGTCTGCCCTGTCCGGGACAGGCGTTCCCCGTGCCGACGTTCAGGTAGGCTCGGTGTGTGAGGGCGCGCACTGACGGGCCGCCGGCGCCCCCAGAGCCGGTGGCCGCCGGCCGGCCGCAGGTCCAGGAGGTGTCCCAGTTCGGTCACGTGACGCGCCGGGCGGCCGCGCAGCTCAGCCTGGCCTGTCCCGCACAGGCCTACCCGCTGCCCAGGTTCAGGTCGGTGGCCGGCCCGAGTAGGGCGGTAGCTCGGTGCAGCGGGGTGCCCTATCCCACCACTCAGGTCAGTAGCTGCCTCGGTCGCCGGTGCGGGCCCACCTCAGTCCGATCGTCGGTCTTGCAGAGCCGGTGGCAGCCACGGCTCCGCAGGGTAACTCGCGCGTGGAGACGTCCCGGACGGCGGCGGCCGCGCGCTCGTCCGTGGCGCTGCCCTGTGCCGGCCAGGCGTTCCCGCCGCCGACGTTCAGGTAGACGGAGCGCGGTGATCGGCTGGGACTGTGTCCGCTGTCCTGGGGCTGTGTCCGCTGACGGGCGGAGCGCCGCTGTTCTGGGGCGGACCGCCGCTGTCCTGGGGTTGTGTCCACTGACGGGCGGTGCGCGGCGGTCCTGGGGCGGTGTGCCGCTGTCCTGGGGCTGTGTCCGCTGACGGGCGGCGCGCTGTGCAGAGCCGGTGTCGGCGGCGGCGCCCGGGGACGCCTCGCAGCGCGACCTGAAGCGGCAGCTGCACCGCGCCGGCCGCGCTGTCTCGCTAGGCTGCCCGGCGCAGGGCGTGCCGCCGCCCACATTCAGGTAGGTGCCGCTGGCGTCTGCCGGTGCCGCCGTTTGGAACTGACGGCGCGCGGTCCGCAGAACCCCTGGCGGCCTCGGCGCCGGAGCTGGAGCGGGACCTCCGCTTCAAGCGGGTGGAGCGGCGGCGCGGGGCGGCGCTCTGTCTGCTCTGTCCCGGCCAGGGGTACCCGGCGCCCAGCAGACGGTAGGTGCCGCCTCTGTGCCGGCCCGGGGACCACCAGGGGTACCCGGCGCCCGGCAGACGGTAGGTGCCGCCTCTGTGCCGGCCCGGGGACCACCAGGGGTACCCGGCGCCCGGCAGACGGTAGGTGCCGCCTCTGTGCCGGCCCGGGGACCACCAGGGGTACCCGGCGCCCGGCAGACGGTAGGTGCCGTGTCTGACGGCCGGCCGCGCGCGCCACAGAGCCCGTGGCCGCCTCTGCCCCGCAGATCAGCGAGCTGGCGCGCACGGTGACACTGCAGCGGCGGCGCGGCGCCGCGCTCAGCCTGGGCTGTCCGGGACAGGCCTTCCCCGTCCCCACCGTCAGGTATGGTCAGCTCCACAGGGCTGCTGCTGTGAGCTCCTACAGCTCCTGTGAGGGTTACCCTGTCCTCCACTCGGGTAGGCTCCCTCCCGCCGGTCTCTGGCCGGGAGGGGAGGGGTCCTGTGGGGGTTATCCTGTCCTCCACTCGGGTAGGCTCCCGCCCGCCGGCCCGCCGGTCTCTGACCGCTGACCGCCCTGGGTCGCAGAGCCGGCCAGCGCCTCAGCGCCCCGGGTCCCGGAGGGCTCGCAGTTCGAGGCACTCAGCCGGGTGGCGGGCGCGCCGCTTTCGCTGCTGTGCCCCGGCCAGGCCGCGCCCACGCCCGCCTTCAGGTAAGTGCCGGATGGTCAGGGTGATGTGCCGCTGGAGGTACCGACCGGAGCCGGGTCTGGACTGGTCCGGTCTGTGTCGGGTATGCGTTGGTCTGGACTGAGTGATACAGTTGGGTCGGTGGTGTCCTCTGTCGAAGGCTCTCTGAGCGGGCGAGGAGTGAAGCCCAGCGGCTCCAGAGTCGGGTCGGCCCTACTACCCTGTCGGATGAGAGCATGGTTCTGTACCCGCACTGCAGACGGAGCCGGACGGTCTGCTCTTCTCGGCTGGTTTGGCATTGTTTAGCGGTAGCTTACAAGGCAGCCTCTCTGCCGAGGCGGAACTCGTGTCGGACGACTGTGCGCTGTGGGCGTTGGCTGCGGCAGCGGCGGCGGGTCCCCGGTCCTGGGAGGCACCGCGCCGTGTCCCGGGGTGGGGTCGGGCCCGACTGACCGCCGCGCTGGCCGGTGCGTGCGGCCCGCAGAACCGGTCAGCAGCGCGCCGCCTCAGTTCCCCACGCAGAGCAAGATCAGCTCAGCGGAGCAGCGGGCCGGCGCGGCGCTCAGCCTCCTCTGCCAGGGCCAGGGGTCGCCGGTACCAGTGACAAGGTCAGCAGTGAGGCCAGGGGTCACCGGTGCCAGTCACAAGGTCAGCGGAGGGTCAGGGGTCACCAGTACCGAACCAGGGGTCGCCGGTGCCAGTCACAAGGTCAGCACAGGGTCAGGGGTCACCGGTGCCAGTCACAAGGTCAGCAGCGGGGCCAGTCAGGAGATGGCGGTGAGTTGACCGGTCGATCCGTGTCGCTGGGAAGAATCTGATTTGGGGAAGAAAGGGCGGTGAAATCCAGTGAACTCTCGTCCGTCAACCGTACATGCGGCGGAGTGCGGCGGCGGCGGCCGGTGGCGGTTCCACCCTATCCCTCCCCGGCTGCCGGAGTCCCCGCTATGCGCGCCTCCAACCGTCCTCTCTGTGCCGCCGCCCCCAGAGCCGGTGTCGAGCGCGCCGCCAAAGACCACCAGTCGCAGTGAGATCCAGACGGAGCGGGCGGCGGCCGGCGCGGCGCAGGCGCTCCTCTGCCCCGCTCAGGCCTTCCCGCTGCCGGCCTTCAGGTAGGCGCCGAGCGGTGACCCCTGCGCCCCGTGACACGAGCCTCTCCCCTGTAGAGCCGGTGTCCAGCGGGCCGCCTAAGGTCTCCGTCGAGTCCAAGGCGTATAACCTGCAGCACGGCAGCGGCGCTGAGCTCAGCCTGCCGTGTAAGGCGCAGGCGTTCCCCGTGCCGCGCTTCAGGTGAGGACGCTGCAGTGCCCGCGCCCGTCTGACCAGGTCAGAACTGAACTCAGCAGTCACCGTCGGTCAGGGGGTGGCGGTCCTTTCAATTCGACCAGCGCGGGCCGGCGGCGAAGACGGCTTCCTATCCCACCATTCAGGGACGGCTCCGTCCCCACATCTCGTCAGTCTGTCTCCATTGTCTCCCTATCCGCTCTCAGAGCCGGTGGCCAGTGGCGCCCCGGTGGTGCCGCCCGGCGCCAACGGGGTCATAGTGGAGGCCCGCGCCGCCGCGCCGGGCACGCTGCACTGCCGCGGCCAGGGTCACCCGTTGCCCAGCTTCAGGTGAGCCACCGCATTGGGCAGATATAACCGCACTGCCGCGGCCAGGGCCACCCAGTGCCGCCCAGTGCCCAGCTTCAGGTGAGGTAGCGCATCGGGCAGGGCTCAGAGGTACCCTTGTTCAAGTGGCGTGTGAGGGCGCAGCTCAGCACATTCAGAGGCGCGGAGACTGGGCGGCGGCCGGCGGTATCGCGGTCGGAACGAGGCGCGATCCCAACACTCGAGCCTCCGGGACTGGCTGGTGGGCTGCTCAGTGTTCCCGGCGAGGCACCGCTGTCCCGCGCCCGGCGCTACCCCGGCTGTCCGCTCCCCTCGCAGAGCCGGTGTCGAGCGGCGCTCCGCGGGTGCCGGCCGGGGCCCAGGGCGCCACGTTCTACCTGCGGGCGGCGGCGCCGGGGGCGCTGCACTGCCGCGGCCAGGGCTACCCGGCGCCAGTGTTCAGGTGAGCCGGCGGCGGCCCTCCCCCCCCCCCGTCCCCCGTCCCGGGGCGGGGTCCGTGCACCCACCGGACGGTGTCGCTCCCGACAGAGCCCGTCTCGAGCGCGGCGCCCAGCGTGCCGCTCGGGGCGCGCGGCGACGTGTTCACCTTCGCGGCGGGTGGGGACACGACGCTGCCCTGTCGCGGCCAGGCCTTCCCCGCGCCCACCTTCAGGTGAGTTGGGTGGCAGGGAGGCCATCTAATGCACAGACGGAGTGGTATTTCTGAGCCGCTCGGGACGTCATGGAGGAACCTAGCTGACAAATTCGCTAGGCCAGTCGGAACAGGTGTCTTGACGTGAACGAAGGTCTTCTGACGGCAGTTGTAAGCGGCAGCTCGAAGTCGTACGAAATCACCTCAGTCCTCTCCGGCGATGTCCTTTGGCGGCGGCCCGGGCCCAGTTCAGCCCATCCCAACATTTCGGCTCCTCGTTGCTCCGCTGAGGTGGCGGCTGTCTCCGCCCGGCCTCGGAGAGTTACGATCCCGTCCCGGCCGGTGCCGACAGAGCCGGTGGCCAGCGGCGTGCCACGCCTGCTCGGCGCCCGCGGCGACCGACTCGACCTCAGCGCCGGCTCGGCCGTGGCCGTGCCGTGTCGGGCGCAGGCGTTCCCCGTGCCGCGCTACAGGTGGGCCCTCCCTCCGGCTACTTCCCAACCGCAGTGTCTACACCCCAACATTCAGGTAGGGCTCCGATCAGCTCCGGTAGGTAGGCCTCTCCTATGGTTAACCGTCGGTGTTCGGCAGAGCCGGTGTCCAGCTCTGCGCCGCGACTGCCGGCCGACTCCAAGTCGAACACGTTCTCGCACTCGTCTGGAGCGCCGCTGGCTCTGCTGTGTCGTGGACAGGCGTTCCCGGTGCCCTACTTCAGGTGCGTGCGATCGGCGAACAGGCTCGCTGGGACGTCGAGGTGGCGGTTCGGTTCAGTTTCACCGTTCAGCGGAGACTAGGCTCGGCGGCCGACCTGTCATGGGAAGACGCAGAGACGAGACCTCGCCTAGCCCAGCCGTCCTCTCTCTACCTTGCTGCCTCTCCGACCGGTCGGGCGCGCTCACTATTCTGTCCGCCTCGTCCGTCTCCTGTCCCGTCCAAATATCAAAACTCTGTGGCGGCGGGCGGCGGCTCGGCCGGCATCCCATTCATGATGCTAGAGGGCTGCAGGCGATTGATGCCAGTGACACTCTGGCGGCCCCTCCCGCAGAGCCGGTGGCCAGCTCGGCGCCCCGGCTGCCGTCCGAGTTCAAGACGGACGCGCTGTGGCTGGCGGCCGGCGCTCCCGCGGCCCTCACCTGTCGCGGCCAGGCGTTCCCGGTGCCGGCCTTCAGGTGCGCTGCGCTCGGACGAGAGCGAACGGAGCTGGGACAGACTGAGAGGATCAGTGGGCTGGTTTTCACAGACGGGTCTACATTTAGTAAGCTAGTTTCGGATAGGGAGGCTTTGTTTCCTAGCTGGTGGGCGAAGGCGGCGCGACGGTCTGTCGGTCGCTCTGGCGGTCGGTCGGTCGGTTAGCTGGACGGTCGGATGGATGGACAGGACATTACCCTCCCTTACCGGCCACTGGGCTGCGCTGGGCCGGCGCCGGCGGCTCTCTTGACACCTGTGGCCCGCCGGCGGTGACGTGTCGGTCTGACCCGTGTCGGTCTGTGGCCCGCGGTCTGCAGAGCCGCGCGGCAGCTCGGCGCCGCGGCTGACCGCCCAGCAGCGCCGTCTGGAGCTGGCGGACGCCGCCGCGGGCCGGCCGGTGCCGCTGGCCTGCAGCGCCCAGGCGCACCCGCCGCCCGCGCACAGGTGAGGGAGGGGTGGGCGGAGCGGCGGCGGACCGACGGACGGCGGGGCTCCCGACCTCCTGTGTGACCGCTGCGTACCCCGCAGAACCCACCGCGTCCTCGGCGCCGCGCGTCCTCGGCGAGCGGCTCATGCTGCGCTCGGCGCTGGAGGGTGCGGCGGCCGTCCTCAGCTGCCGAGCGCAGGCCAGCCCGAGCCCCGCCTTCAGGTACGGTACAGCAGGCCAGCCCGCGGCCCCGCCTTCAGGTACGGTATAGCAGGCCAGCCCCGGGGCCCGCCTTCAGGTACGGTACGGCAGGCCAGCCCGAGCCCCGCCTTCAGGTACGGCTTAGCAGGCCGGGGTACAGATACAGGCCAGCCCGGGCCCCGCCTTCAGGTACGGTATAGCAGGCCGGGGTACAGATACAGGCCAGCCCGGGCCCCGCCTTCAGGTACGGTATAGCAGGCCAGCGCGGGGTACAGGCACAGGCCAACCCGGGGTACGGTACAGATCAGTCCGGGCGCATGTGCAGGCCAGCCCGGGTCCGCGTTCAGACCCGCCGGGGCCCCGCGTTCAGGCGCAGTGCGGCGGGCCGGGCGGACGTCCCGCGAGTCCCAGACTCTGTGAGCTCAGAGGTTCTGGCGGTGACGGTGAGGTCTATGTCTTCTGGGTGGTGGCAGCTACCCGTTCCTACCTGGACTGGACCACAGTGGCTCTCCATCGCCTGGGTATCTGTCAATGTCGGGACACTGATGTCCGGTGTGTTGGCGTTGGGCCGGCGGCGGCGGCGCGGTGGTGCAGCAGCAGTTCGCGTACTTCCGCCCCGTCCCCCTGATCTGACGGCCGCCTGCCGGCCGCGCAGAGCCGCTCTCCAGCGCCGCTCCTACTGTGCCGTTCGAGGCGCGCGGTAACGTGCACGTGGCGCCGGCCGGCCGGCCGGTGTCGCTCTCCTGTCGCGGCCAGGCCTCCCCCGCGCCCCTGTTCAGGTGAGTGCTCCGGCCGGCCGCCGGAGGAACTGTCAGCTCGCGAGGACGCGGTCCAGCCTCTACCCGCACACAGGTTATAATCAGACCTGCTGTTCAAACAGGCGTTTGTAGACTGACAGCCAAGGTAAGGTAGTCTGCTGCTCTTATCATAAGATTGTAATTTTATGCGCGGACATGTGGCATGTTTTGGCATCAACTACGAGTGCCGGTGATTGAGTCGCTCCACACTACCAAAATCTGCTGGGCTGGCGCGGAGCAAGCAGCTGCGCAATACCTTACCATCCTTCCGGTTTCAGAAACGAACTTTAATCCTATGAAACGATGAACTATTCGGAAACCATGATGACCTTACCTCACCTAGCAGTCGGCTGTTATGCAGAATTAAACTTTATTTTTGCGATTATAGACTCTATGGTGCTGGGTAACCAACCTTCTTTTCTGTCCTGTGTGTCCTGAGTCCCAGCGTCTGTCCTATATATGCCGGCCCCTGTGTAACTGTCAGCCCCCGCCTCCGCCGGTGTGGCCCGCAGAGCCGACGGCCTCCTCGGCGCCGCGCGTGGCCGGAGAGCTCTACCTGTTCCGCCGCGCCGCGGCGCGCGCGGCCGTGACGCTGCTGTGCGGCGCGCAGGCCAACCCGCCGCCCCTGTTCAGGTCAGACCGGCGTGTCCGGTCCTCGGGGACCAGCCCCAGGGCCAGGATACACGTGTGGAGTGAGCTGATCTGGGAACTCGTGGTCTGTGTGTGCCGGTACGGGTGTGTGTGGTGGTGAGGTCAGTGGCTGGTGGTGGTGTGGGGTGGCTGTGTATGCTAGGGTCTCGGGTAGGGTGTGGGACCGGGGCCGGGCCGGTGCGGGAGGGCAGTCCCGGGGGTGGGAGGCAGCCCCGGGGTGGAGCCGCTCTGTCCGCGGCCCGCGCCGCCCCGTCTGAACTCTGAGCCCCCTCTGTCTCTCTCCCGGTTGGCAGGCCGCTCTTGGAAAGCACGCTCCTTGGGTGGCCGATGCACACCACGTACGACTAGCGTTGACGCGGGGGCACCTCGCCTGCTGCCGTCTAGCGGTGAGTCTCTCAACCTCAGTTGGTAGAACGCTCCGCTTGGCGGCTGGCCGCTGGCTTGGTGCCCCCGGCGATGCTATGTCGCTCGCTTGGTGGCTTATTGGCTTTGGACGTTACTTGGTCCCACTTGGAATACTAACAGTCTTTTCGTCCCGTCTCCAAGTCAAAATATAATATAACTTGAAAATTTGTTCGAGTAAAATCACCCCGTATCGAGAGTGTGTAGTTTTCCCGCTTGCCTGGCCTTTGCAGTCACACCATAGTGTTGCCGGCTTTTGGCTGTTATGCTTCTGTCAGCCGTGTGACCGGCCGCTGCGGCTGGCGGCGGGGCAGCTTGGTACCGTGCTGGTCACTGGAAGGCAGTCAGGGCACCCCCGGTTACCGTGCTGGTCACTGGGCAGCGTGCACCCTCGGGTGCCGTGAGGTGCCGTTCTAGTCACGGAGCTTGTACACCTACCCACCTACCACCCGCTGGGAGAGCCGCTGTATCTTTGTATATCGGCGTGGCGTATGATCGGGCTGGTATCAAGTGCTGCTGTCTCGGTTATCGGTCAGTCCCCCGGGTTCTGCCGTGGCATCTAACGGTAAGTAAATGTTCATACGGAGCTTTCATACGCATCTCCAAGGTCATCAATCAGGTCAGTTCTGCGGTTCTGCTTGGTGTTGTTGGGTGCGGTGGGGCTTCAGCTAGTGTATGCTGACCAAGGCTTGACACAGATATTGGATAGAGGTACAACCTGTAGATTGTTTGAACCATAATTGATCTTACGATGCTTCGAACTGTTTAAAGTTAGTCACTCTTTATATCGTTTCTTCTGTTTCGCTGTAAAATTCCTCATGCAAACGTACCTATCACGCATAATTTATTGGAAAGTTGTTGGAAGTATCACAATGGTTATGGCGTTTAAATACAATTTTGATGTTCTTGCTTGTCCCTATGTCGTCTTTTTGCGAACATTGTCATCTCTATAATATTGTATTATTATTGTTCCACATTGAAACATCCGATAAACGTTCTTTCCACTTAACAATTGCAAAGTCCCACGGTTGTCCTCTGGCTACTCTAGTACTCTCCTCGCGTCGTGTGTTCCACTCCGCCCTGTCTCCCCTCTCTCCCCTCCCGCTGCTGACCGACTGTGCCCGGCCGGCGGTCTGCTGACCTCCCCTCTCCCCGCCCCGCCGGTCAGGTGGTTCAAGTTTGAGGAGGGCAGCTCGCGTCGGCGGCCCGTTCAGCTGGACGACAGGGTCCGCCAGGTGGCTGGCACCCTCATCATCCGCGAGGCGCGCGTCCAGGACTCGGGGAAGTACCTCTGTCAGGTCAACAACACCGTCGGAGGCGAGAGCGTCGAGACCGTGCTCACCGTCACTGGTGAGTCAGGGAGGGTAACGGGACCGTGGGTATTGGGACCGTGCTTACCGTCACTGGTGAGTCGGGGAGGGGCCGTGCTCACCGGCACTGGTGAGTGGGTAATGGGACCGTGCTCACCGTCACTGGTGAGTCAGGGAGGGGCCGTGCTCACCGTCACTGGTGAGTCAGGGAGGGGCCGTGCTCACCGTCACTGGTGAGTCAGGGAGGGGCCGTGCTCACCGGCACTGGTGAGTCAGGGAGGGGCCGTGCTCACCGTCACTGGTGAGTCAGGGAGGGGCCGTGCTCACCGGCACTGGTGAGTCAGGGAGGGGCCGTGCTCACCGTCACTGGTGAGTGGGTAACGGGGCCGTGCTCACCGTCACTGAGTCAGGGAGGGTAACGAGACCGATTCACCGTCAGTGGTGAGTCAGGGTAACAGGGATGGGACGGGAGCGTCAAAATCGTTCTCATTGTCCATGGTGAGTGTGGGGGAGGGCGGGCCGTTATAGGGCTCACTGTGGCTGTTTTCATTAGGCATTTATGGGGCTGGTAAAGGTACTATGTTTTTCCCTGACTATCGACCCCCTGTTCGTTTCAGCGCCGCTCTCGTCTTCCATCACGCCGCCGTCCCAAGTGGTCGACTTCGGCAAACCGGCCCAGTTCACCTGCACCTACAAGGGCAACCCCGTCAAGGCCCTCTACTGGATGAAGGATGGCGTCAAAATCGGTACGGCCAACAGCACTACTACTGACCTCTGCAGCTGTGAACATGTGCTGTCGATAAGATGACCCCCCATTATCGCGTTAGGGAACGGCGACGCCTGAACTTGCCCTTTGAATCATGCTGCTGCATTTTGAATTTTGATGCCAGTCTTATGCCAGACGACTACAGCATGAAGGCTAGTCACTTCTTTTCTGTCATGTATTGTGTCACTTCCGGCCTTCCGGCTCCCACTGACCCCGCTGACTGACCTGCCGCTTCTGTCCACCTGTCCGCAGGTCACGACGAGCCGACGCTGTCGATCCGCGCCGTCACCAAGTCCGACAAGGGCATGTACCAGTGTTTCGTCATCAACGACCAGGAGAGCGCGCAGGCCACTGCAGAGCTGCGGCTCGGTGGAAAGTGTGAGTACCCCTGTGGGGAAGGGGTCACTGTGTTAGTATGGGGAGGTGCGGCTCGGTGGAAAGTGTGAGTAACCCGGGGGGGAGGGGTCACTGTGTTAGTACGGGAAGCTGTGGCTCGGTGGAAAGTGTGAGTACCCCTGTGGGGGAAGGGTGAAGTACTGTGAAGTATTTAGTACGGGGAGGTGCGGCCCGGGGAGAAATGTGGGGGCCGCTCAGGGTGTGTTTCACTGACAGTCTGACGTCTGTCTGACGCTGTGTGTGACGCTGTGTGTGACTGTGCGTGTGACGGTGTGTGTGACGGTGTCTGACGCCGCGTTCCCCGTCGCCAGTCGACCCGCCGGCGCTGGTGGAGACGTTCGAGGCCCGCCAGCTGGAGCCCGGCATCTCCACCCACCTCAAGTGCGCCGCCACCGGCGACCCGACGCCCGAGATCACCTGGTTCATTGACGACACGGAGACCACCAGCCGAGACCGGTTAGAGGCCGTGCGCGGGGACGTGCAGCTGACACTGGTTACACAGGGTGACCCACGGTATACAGAAACGGAAGGGGCGTCAGGTCGAATGTTGTCGATGGTGAAGGGGTCTTTTTTGTCACGGCCATTTTTGCGCCTACTCCAATTATTTGCACATATACGTACTACCTATATTGTGTAATGTATGCCTCTTAACTTCACCATTGCATGTTTGAAATAATGTTCTCAGTAACTTGTAGCGTATCGTACTGGAGCGTCGCTCTGCGGGTCCGGTACGACTGGGGCTGTGCTGTCTCTGACCGTCTCTGACCGCCACTGACCGCCGGCGTGCCGCGTGGCCAGGTTCCAGGTGAGCCACTCTCGCGGTCCGGCCGGCACCGTCGTGTCCTTCCTCAACGTCACCAGCATCCTGACCAACGACGGCGGCCTGTTCAAGTGCCGCGCCGCCTCCAAGGTGGGCGCCGCCGAGCACCAGGCGCGCATCGACGTGCGCGGCCTGCCGCACGTCAAGCCCATGAAGAAGATGTCGGTGGTGGCCGGCGAGACGCTGATCAAGACGTGCCCGGTGGCCGGCTACCCGATCGACACCATCACCTGGGAAATGAGTGAGTGGGGCGCGCACAGGGCGCAGGACCGCCCCGGTGCCGAACCCGGCCGGCCGAGGGCGGTCGATAGGTGGACGATATGTGACGTAGAGGTAGCCAATGTGCTCGGAGCCGCCCATTTGAACTTATGCATATTCTACACGGGCTGCTCATTTGGAATTACCGATTGAAGGGCGTGCTTCTGATAAATGATATTGTTGTTTTGTTATCTGTAAAACAGTTGAATCTGCCCATCCACTATGTAATGTCATGCATGCCGGGGCTCAAGGCGTATTCTGCCCGCGTCTCTATGTCGGCAGCTAACCCCGTTACCCCGTTACCCGCTCCCGCCGCTCACGGTACCCTGTTCTCCGCCGGCAGACGCGCGCGTGCTGCCCCGTGACGCGCGCCAGAAGGTGTTCCCGAACGGCACGCTGATCATCACCAACGTGCAGCGCCAGTCGGACCAGGGCACGTACACGTGTGTGGCGCGCAGCACGCACGGCTACATGGCGCGCGCCAACCTCGAGGTGCTCGTCATGGGTGAGTGCAGGGGCGGGGACGGGGGGGGGGGGGCGCCGGCCGGACCGACACTCAGATACCGCACACTCAACACAACACGGTCTATGTGCGACCTCAGGTCACATGGACTTAGTGGAGGCAACAGATAGATCACTTGTGATAGGCTAATCTGAGCGGCGCCTTTCTACCATTGTATAGACAAAGTCGAAATATTTTATCCGATAATAAACACCAGTTTATAACATTTTCTATGCTTATAGATCGAGTTAAATCGCACAATATTTTTTATTACCATGGACATTGGACTAGCTTGCATTCGCGTAGTTTGCCTGTCACTTTTTGCATTAAGATGTCAGGAACACTATGAAACGAATTGCCTATTGGATTAGGATGAGGCTAGTGATGACTGGCTTTCTCACTATTTTTCGTCGCTGCCTCTGAGTTACGTTCTAGTTAGGTCTGACCATCGTGAAGGAACTGATATCGGCGATCACCAGACGCCATCGATCCACGCTCGGGACCGGCCGGCGCCTTGCTGGGGTGTGCTCTATAGTTAGGCCTCGCCACATGACATTGAAGGTTGATTTATGCGATTGATGACTTCGTAATAAGTCGCTTAATACGGTTTAGAGAAACAGAAATGTCGAGTGGCATCTAAATGACTCTTTTTGTGATAATTATTTCTTAAAAGATGAAAGTGAAAGCAGTTAAGCTATTGTTTAATTTCTGTTCTCACATTGCTCTAAGCACTGCAGTTTGTCATGCTCCAAACGGGAGTGTAGGCGCGCGCGCGTGTGTGTGTGTTCGTCTGACCGCCTTTTCCAGTTGTGCGCGGGTCGGCCGGCCCGCCCGCCGCCGGTAGCCGGTCGGTCGGCCCGCCGGCCGCCCCGCTCGGCCCCGTCACAGCCCCCGCCCGGCGCAGAGCCGCCGCAGCTGGCGCCGTTCGCGTTCGATGCCGGTCTGCGCGTGGGGGATCTGGTGACGGCCACGTGTGTGGTGCGCGCCGGCGACTCGCCGCTGACGCTGCGCTGGCTGCGCGACGGCCGTCCGCTGCCGCCGGCCGCCGAGGGGCTCGTCACGCGCGACACCGGCGACCGGCTCAGCGTGCTGCTCATCCCGCACGTGCGCGCCGCACACGTGGGCCGCTACACGTGCCAGGCCAGCAACGCGGCCGGCGCGGCGCGCCACTCGGCGACGCTGGTGGCCCGAGGTAGCGCCGCCGGCCGCTCCCACTGACGCACCGCACGGGTTCGGGCTGACTTGTGGATACCGGAGCTAACCTCTCGCCGCCCCGACTCCTCCCGCCGATCGCCGACGGCACTCCTGGTCCGGGGGAGCCGCTCCCGGCCAGGCTTCAGCCGGCCGGGAGCTCGCAGCCGAGACCCCAGCTCCCGCCGCAGCCCTGCCGGGGTACAGCCGAGACCCAGCGCCGCCGCCCGGCCCAGTGTGCCCCGCCCGACCGCCCTGTGAGGCCGGACCGTCCGTGGAGCCGCCCGCCCTTCCGCCCGGCAGATCAGTCTGAGCTGGTCCCTGACAAGGGGCTGTCGGCAGTCGCCGGCCATCGTCCAATACCTGAGGGCCTTTGACTGAAAGGGAATCACGCAGGATGACTAGGAAAGCTGTGTGTAGTTTCATCGCCAAATCTGAGACACAGCCTTGAGCTCTCGCTGCACTCGCCTGAATGGCGGTGCCGGCTCTGTGGCCCGTATCACTGCTTCTGGCAACGTCTAGTTCATCTGTGGTTCTAGTCATCTTACCAGGCGCAGTCGATCGAGGACTGGTGGTCTCCTCCCCTGGTGTGTTGGCTAAATTAGTCATCAACCGAGATGTAGGGGCGCATCGTTTGTAATAGAGGTTCGCCGTAGCAGCTCACTGAAACGATGAGCGGTAAGCTCATTGGTGCAGTGTCCGTCTGCGCAGGCCGTCCTCTGACCGCCGGGCCGCCCCCAGAGCCGCCGGAGATCGTGCCGTTCGCCATGGAGGCGGCGCTGCGCGTGGGCCAGGACGCCACCCTGCTGTGCAGCGCCTACAAGGGAGACACGCCGCTGGCGGTGACGTGGACGGTGGACGGGGCGCCGGCGGCGGGCCGGCCGGGCGTGCAGGTGCTGCCGGCCGGTGCCCGCTCCAGTCTGCTCACGGTGCCTTCGGTGGGCGCCGAGCACAGCGGGCGGTACACCTGCACGGCCAGCAACGCGGCCGGCACGGCCACTCACTCGGCGCGGCTGGACGTGCGCGGTCAGTCGGCCACAGGGACCGCCGCGCGCTGATCTGACCCGGACACTGCCCGGAACCCAGGATGGATCCCTGATCAGCCTACCCTAGATCGCCGTGCCTTATTTCAACCGAATTCCACCTTTCTCCATTTGTCTTAAAAAGGTTTGATTCGTAGTGCCTCCTCCGACGGGCCAGGAGTTTTCACCGGTAGACTGGTGGGGTGACCACAAGAGTCATAAGAGGCTCCGTTCTACGTGGACGCTCCTGTGAGCCCAGCTCGGGCCAGCCAGCAGGGACGGCTCGCCGCTGACGTTGTCACCCACTGTTTCCATCAGCTGGCGCAGTCTCCACTTGATACCCTCATCGGCATACGCCAGTCGCACGAAGACAGACGGTGGTCGTCTCGACGGGGCTCTTTGTTTGCCTCGAAACAGTTTCCTTTTTCCATCTAGTTTGGCATCAACGCAAGCATCCTAATTCGTTTGACGAAGCGCCACGTGGGCATCAAGTGGCTGACACCTGGCTCCGCGCGTATTGTCAGAGGTGCCGGAGATAATGCCGTTCGGCGTCGACGCCCCGCTCAGCTCCGGCGAGACGGTGGCGCTCGTCTGCAGCGTCAAGAAGGGAGACACTCCGCTGACCATCAGCTGGGCGTTTGAGGGCGGGCCGGTGCCCGAGGGGCTGGCCGTGCGGGTGATCCCCACGGGCGCCCGCAGCAGCTTCCTCTCGGTGGAGGCGGTGGGCGCGGCGCACAGCGGCCTCTACACGTGCACCGCCGCCAACGCGGCCGGCGCCGCCTCCCATACGGCCAGGATCACAGTGAAGGGTCAGTGGTGTGCGCGGCGGACTGGTGGCCCTCGGACACCCATCCTGTGCCCGCGATCCCCGCATCCAACCAGGAACCACGCGTCTCTCTACTGCCTCTGAGCTGTGTGTTCACCAGTCTGGCTGGATGTCGCTGATGGTGTTCTGGTAACGACCTGATGGTCAGCGGTCGGTGGCCAGGCGGGCGTGGTGGTCTCCAGGAACATGTACGAACCATATCCCTGTTTCTCGCATATCATTGTATCCGCTTTCGGAACCTGCACCAAACTGACGCTCAAAAGATCACTCAGACTGATTCCCGGTCCACCGTTCAGAGGTTCCCGAGGTGGTGCTGTTCTCGGATGCCCTGGAGGCTCCACTGAGCACGGGAGAAGACGCCGCTTTGACCTGCCGAGCCAGCAAGGGCGATACTCCGATGACGCTATCCTGGACCTTCGACGGACGTCCCGTCACCTCTGAAATGGGAGTGAATGTGATATCGGCGGGCGCCCGGACCAGCTTCCTGACGATCCAGTCTGTCGGGGCGGCCAACAGCGGGGAGTACACCTGCACCGCTGCCAACGACGTGGGGGAGGCCTCCCAGTCGGCCCGGCTCACGGTGAAGGGTCAGTGAGCGATATCGCTTCAAGAGCTCCCCCCCCCCCCCCTATTCTTATACCACTTCACAATGTGTCCTATCTTGTCATGCTTATCCATATCCTGGTGGCAAAAAGTCCTCGCCTTTTTGTTGACTTTGCCATATCTTTGCTCTTAATTGACTCGATCTCCTGGGCGACTCCGTAGAGGCGCCGGAGATCGTTCCCTTCAGCATGGACGCGCCGCTCAGTACGGGAAGAGACGCGGCTTTGACCTGCAGTGTGGCCAAGGGAGACACGCCCATGACTATCGAGTGGACATTCGAGGGCCGGCCGGTCAGCAGTGAAATGGGCGTGCTGGTGCTCCGCGCGGGCTCCCGTACCAGCTTCCTGACGATCGAGTCTGTGGACGGAAGTCACAGCGGACTGTACACGTGCACAGCTACGAACGCGGTGGGCGCGGCGGTCCACTCGGCGCGGCTCACCGTCAAGGGTCAGTGGCGAGCTGGGCCAGCGGAAACAGCAGACGGTGCATGGCAACCTTATTTTCCTGAAAATGACTACTATATCCGTCATCCTCATTCCTCATTGATCCAGACAAACTTCTGTTCCTGCATTTACATGCCACGGTATTTCATTATGTAGGCTCCTGGTGTACGCGTGTCTGGTGTGAGGGGCTCTCGCTGGTCCGCTCTGGCGGCTGACGTCGGCGGTCGGTTGGCAGAGGCGCCGCAGCTTGTGCCGTTCACGGTGGACGCGCCGCTCAGCGTCGGTCGCAGCGCCACGCTGCTCTGTAACGCGTTCAGAGGGGACCCACCGCTGACGCTGGCGTGGACTCGGGACGGACGCCCGATCTTGGACACGGCCGGGGTGCGGGTGGTGGACGCCGGGCTCCGGACCAGCGTGCTCACCATCGAGTCGGTGGCGGCGGCCCACAGCGGACGGTACACGTGCACGGCCACCAACCCGGTGGGCGCTGCGGCGCACTCGGCGCGGCTCACTGTCCAGGGTCAGTTGGCCGCACGGTGGGGACGGGCGACGGCGAGTGGTGATCGATCTGCCGCGATGCATGTCGGTGGAGTCCTTTATCCTTCTTCAGCTTCCGTAACTCTGGCTGTCCGTCCTTGCACCCGTTCTGCTGGTGATCAGACGTCTGGCTCGACAGAGGCGCCTGACATCGTCCCATTCAGTATGGAGTCACCACTTAGTACCGGAGAGGACGTCGCGCTCGCCTGCAGCGTCAAGAAGGGGGACACGCCCATGAACATCACGTGGACGTTTGAGGGCGGCCCGCTGGGCGCCGAGCTGGCCGTGCGCGTGCTGTCGGCCGGGCCTCGGTCCAGCTTCTTGGCAGTGCCGTCCGTGGGGGCGGCCCACTCCGGCGTCTATACGTGCACTGCCTCCAAC